CTCTGGTTAAATAAATAGCCGCAGTCGGAGCAAAGGCAGTCATTGCCCGCTTTTGTGCGTGCCTCTCCTTCTTCTTTTTTGTTTTTTTGTTGGCTTAGTGGCCAGGTCAATAATCAACGTCGATACTCTGCTTGGTTGCAACGGTCGGCTGGTCGATTGCACACGCATTGATACGCGCAATTTTCAGGGGAATTAAACCTGCCCGCCCGTCCAATCGCCTCCTCCCCTCCACCACAAGCCATTCGCTATTTATTGAGTGTTGGAGTATTGGTAGGTGTGCGTGTGTGTGTGTGTGTGTGTGGGTCGCGGTTTTTAATTAGTTTTAGTCCGCTCGAAATCAGCTCAAAAGTCTCAAACGCTGTTTGCATTTCAATGCGGCCACTTGCAATTTGATTGCGGTCCTTTTGGACACTTGGCAGCAGCTCATTAGTGGAAAATCATTTAAATGGAATTGTCTAATTGGCTCGGGGGTGGGAGTATGGAGGAGCAATGGCATATGCTCTAATTAAATTTATTAAAATAAATACAAAGTTTCGTGGTTGCCAGTGCCAACCGCATAAGCCGTTGAGAAAGTTCGCCGCCTGCTGTTTGGTTGCCTTTTGTGGTCATGTGACTAGTCTTTAATTAAATTTCATTCAGTGAGAAGACGCCTAAAACTATGCAGGAACTATTAAATGCGGATATTTCTCTGCATACCCAACTGTGCAACAGCCATAGACTTATGCGTAGTATGACAGGAAACTGAAGCCATTCAATGGCTGTAGTCGGATAATTCATACGAATTTTCCAAGCGAAAAGTTAATGTGCTATATACTTTGTGAGGCAACAATAAATAATAATGGCAGCCACCACTAAAGTGAAGTCAAGCATGAAGCAAGCTATTTTTAATAAATATATTATAATGCTCATATGAGTACGATATAGTACATACATACATACATATATAGAAAACAAAGGCCAGTGAATGGATAGGCAGCCTGTGTTCTATCATCAGCTCTGTTTTGTTTTTTCTTCTTCTTTCTGTTGTGTATTTTTGTTTTTTGTGTTTGGACGCCAGCTGCCTGGGGGCTTTTTGTTGTCTGCTTGGAGCCTTGACCCAATAATTGTGTTGTTTGTTTGTGTTCTTACATTATACTACACATACATGTATAGTACACTAATAGTGTCCTTGCGGCATTTGTCTGACTTAGTATATATGAGTTGGTCATAAATGGTGTTGATTAGTGCTTGCACTTCCGTTTTAATTGGTATTAAAATTGCATATTATGCTTAAGCCTTGACCAGATGCCAACTAGAGAGATTAATCGGATCTAGTATAAGCTCTTAAGTAGGAAAATATGTCAAGAATGTGCATCAGCAAGTTATAAGTGTTAAAGTTTGTTGCACGTACATATGTATGTGTAAGTATAATTGATGTGCTTGCAATGATAATTAATACGAGCTTCTGAAAAATAGTTATTTACACACGCAGTGACCAACCGTCAATCTGTCAGTTCACTAGCCTGCAGAGATCCTGAACGGTAAAACAATTACCCTGTTATATTCAATTCGACTTCAATGTTGTTGTTGTTGTTAAATGTATAGTATGTCCGCCTTTTTTTTCCGTCTGCCTGTTTGTTTGGCTGCCTCTGCTTGTGCAAGAGTGTGGCAATTATAAGTTGTTCGTGTCTGTTAATTAAATGTGTCAAGTAAAGGCATTTAATAGGTTTCAGTTATTTACAAAGAAGCGGAATTTTGCCATCGTCGAGTCGTACCGACTGAATGAACATGGCAACAACTATTTGAAAATTATGGTTTTCTCGCAAGATAACCATTTAACAATTAATATGAAAAAAATATATAGAGAGTGTAACATTTTCAAAACTAAAAGAAAAATATTTTTGATTGTTTCTGGAATAGAGTGGAAATTTATTCATATTTTAATTAAGAACAGTGTACTTTTCGGTAATAATATTATTTTAAACTTCTTTTAATATTAATTTTATATTTAATTGGCGAAATAAAGTTGAAAACCGGAATAATATTATTTTTTTCTATAAAAAGTAATAATGTTAATTTATTAATAACTATGCCACAAGTATTTGATATGCTGTTTTTTTTTTATTCTACAGAGGTTTAGTAAAAGTTTTCTACCAACATAGGATTCCGTTTCAAATTATTTGAACAAAATTCGGGACTGCAGAATTTACATAGTAAGTATTTAAATTGGTATTTTAAATGACTATCTTTTGCTCAAAAGCGTGGAGGAGTAACGTTTTTGTTGTACAACAAAATTAAGGCTATATGCGTAGATTTCGCACAAACGTTGACTTCTTTTTAGTTCGAAACTTTCAATTTTTAACGATAGCTAGCTAGCTGCACTAGCTGTTTGCCTGCAGCTCACTGCAAAGTCGCTCTGGCCGCTCGCATTTCTTTTGGTTTGCCTTGGTTACTGCTTTTATTTTTCATTTACAGTAAATGCCTTCGTAAAATATGCCCTTTTGGCATCACGTCGCGTTGCGCCGAGTATTAATTAATTGAAGAACACGCTTACGCACACATTGTTTTTATATTTACTCAAGTGCGAAATTTCGCGCCATTCGCCGAGCTCAATAAAATGCAATGATGTCTGCCTTGTGTTATGTTATTTAGCAATAAGTAATTGTCAGTGTGTGAGTGTGTGTGTGTGTGTGAAAACGTGTAAATAGTGCATTACGCAGTGATAGCCAATAAAGTGAATGTGGTATTAAATTACCTTGATAGCTAATTAGACGAATACTCGTAACCGTGCACCCACATCATAGGCAGATGATGTTCATTAATCAGTAGCCAAAGGTAATATTCTAAACTCCTCTAAAATGCCGACAATCTTAATATCTACTATATACGAGTATGTGTGTGAATGTGTGTGAGTGTCTGCTGCTTACCTCTGTCGTTGTGTCTTGTTTATTTGACGCTTAAGCATGTGACATTAATTTGTAAAGTTGTCTACCCGACAAACACCCAACACGCGGTCTGCGGCTGCTGCCAACTACGATTACATGGCCAGGTGTGCACATATATATATATACACACATGCGTATATAGACACAGACATGAGAAAACCCGTTGCACTTACCTATGAAATGAGGCGTCAGCCTGCAGCATACAGACACATGCAGATACATAAGCGCACACATGCGAGACGCCAAAACAAAATGCGCTAATAGCAGACATATAGGACTACACAAATACATATGTACTTACATATAAGTACACTCGAAACAATCAAGACTTTCGATTCAAAAACAAATGGACTTCAGAAAAAAGCAATCATAAAATAATATATTTACAAATAAAGGAATATTTATACTCTTTCCGTTTTAATCTGATACATTTATTTATTCAGTTAATAGTCTGAATACAAGTTTGATCAATTTTAAGATGAAAAATATAAAATTGTTGCGAATAGTTCGGTTAACTCGATATTACTTGCTTTTCGGTGTCTTGTTAGAACAGCTTTTGGCTTACATTACAATATAAATCAATATAATTTGTTTAAATTTTAGGTATATTCTATATATTTACAAACCTGTTTTAATTTCCGCCTAATCTAGAACGTATTTTTCAGTTCTTTTCTTTAGGTGTATGTATGTATACACATGAAGTTGCTGTTACTTATGCAGCTGTTGCATAGTAAATATTTGCATAAGTGTTGAAAATTAGTTAAATAAGCATTTATAGTTGTTCTAGGGCTTGTTGTTGTTATCCTTGTTGCTGCGCTTGTTGACGCAACATTTGAATTACTTTTAATGTCTATTGTGTTTGCATGTACGAGTATGTGTTTCAGCGCACCCGCAACTGTTAACAAAAAGGTAATTTTCCTGCAAATTGACATAAAAGACAACAAGGAAAAACTTTCTTAGCACAGACTCCAGACGCTTTGTTTAATTTTAAACGGCACACACACACATACACACTCTCGCGCATCATCAAAATTTATGCAAATGGAAATTGCATGCCTGGGCCAAAGTTACGTATACGCAATGTGCAGCGACAGTGGCAGCGGCTTCGATGGCGTAGTGGCTAAAGGAACTGCCTAAAACCATTTTGCACGTATTAGAGCGCTACTTTAATTACTTTAGCCATCTTTTAGACAACAATAACGGCAGCTGGTAGGCATATTCAGCGGGTTGCGTGGGTCTGGAGACTGGGGGATAGAAAGAGTGCCTGTGCCGGTCGTAAATGGCAGTGGCAGTGGCAGTTGGGCATTAGCCACGATATTCGTTTTATGGGCTATTTGTGCCAGTCTTGGGCTTTTCGGCAAGTTTGTTTTCCACATATGTGTGTGAGGCTGATTTATAGGCAGATTCAGTGAAATTTCCAGCTGATTAGGAACAACCATTTGCAACAATGTTCAAAAAGCTCCTCACTTGCTATTACTTAATTTCTTACAAGATATTTCAAATTAAATTAAATTTTAATTTATTCCTAGGTTAAAGCGGTAATATTATAAAAATCGTTTGGTTACAAGATTCATTTTAAAATTAATTGGGCAAGCTTGGTCGCGTATGTATGAGACCATCCAGTACTTCATTACGATGCTTTTATTTTCCTCTAAATTTTGCAGACCGAAGCGATATAAATATTTTTTCCGAACAAGGATGGTGTCTAATAGAGTTGGATTCGTCTATTTATTTTTCTCCACAGAAAACTTTTAAGCCATAAAACACATGGTGCAATGTTCAGCTAAGACTATTTCTACACTATTGTAAAGTGACACGGTTCTCTGAACTTAATTGAATTCTGGAAAGTCAAATTACTACCCTTTATCCTTATCATTTTGTCTATCTAGTTCAGATAGTAGATACTTTTGGAAACATATTTTGAGCATTTTTAAAAAGAGTTGAGCTGGCTCAAAAAGCCGCAGAGTGAGTGAGATTTGAAGTACGCATTAAAAGTCTTGAACAACAATTAAGGCACGTTTAACTCATAAATAAAATACAGTTTGCTTTGCTTATTCAATCCACATATTAATACATTGCAGGCAATTTCTCCTTCAACGTTGTTCTTTTTTTCGGAATTTGCAATGCAGGTCAAGACTTGTCTCGTTGCACAAAGTAAGTAGAACTACCTGACAAAGAACCTACTAACTACTGTTCTCCCATTCAGCAATTGGCGGCGACAGCAGAATCTCCTGCATATTTAATCCCCATTACTGGCAGTCTACCACTACAAGATCAACGGAGACCAATAGCGGGAACCAAACAAATGACAAAAATGCGCAAAATAGTCAACTGTAAAAAACTGTAGCACTCCAGCAAAGTCCATGGAATCGAGAGGGAGAGAGGCCCAATTAAAGCAAAAATGTCAACAATGTACTGCAAGCGCATTGTCAAGCATCAATTTTGAGTGAGAGGAAGTGGCTACTTAATGAGCTGCCAGTCCCTGCCCATCACAACAGCGCCCAACTGGTGTTCAGATCGTCTGACTACGAGAAATATACAAGAAAATTGCTTCATTTTCGAATTTCTGTCATACTCGACATGTTTTGTGCATACGTGTTTTTCCCACTCTCTTGGCGCCCCCTTCCCGTGCTCCTCAGACTCGTACTCGTATGTTTGGAATCTATTCGTGCCACGAATTTCATTTTCAACTTGGCAGCTGCAATATTTACTCTTGCTGCAACGTGCAACGGCTGCCAGGCAACTTATTAAAAACGTCAGTAGCGAAAGCAGCAATAAAAAAATGCCGTAAAGAAAATGATTTTTTCCCAAAGAAAACAAGGGGAGCAGGCAATAGACCTCTCACTAATTGTCGTCTTTTACAAATTTACTGATTTATTATATCGAATTTTTTTAGTTTGGAGTTTACCGATATATATCAGAGTTAATATAACATATTTGTGTATACTAGTGCAACTCAAATAGCAAGTTACATGTATGATAGACTTATAATGATCTCTTGAGTCATTTATAAAATCATCAGAACTCACTTGATGCTGTATAGTTCAATCGAAACGCTTATAACAACAGATCGGTTTACTTTAAATCGCACTTAATGATTTCGCTTAGAATGATATATTGCCACAAAATTATGTTTAAGGTACTCTTATATGTACTTCAAGAGATAGCGAAAATATAATTACAGCATTAATGCAATAAATTCTTTTTAGAGAACATAAAACACAAAAGAACAAACCTATTCATATTTTTAAAACTAAATAGTCGCATTCGAATGTTATTTTATTGTAAAGTTAAATTCGGGTAGATAAATGAATAGTTTTATATGGGCATTGATAGAAGATTAAATACCGTCCATTTCTTGTACTTGTGTATATGATGGATAAACTGATGTTTGGAGAAAAAAGTAATTGATAGAAGCCAAATAAGTAACTCAAAGGCTGGTATTTTCTGGAGTGTATAGCTGGTAGCTAGCGACGGAATTAGCGTACTAAGTAAAGCCTTAAATATTTACCATCTTATGTATAACTCGAGAAATATGTTCTTCTTAATAGGTAAGTGGCGAATGGCAAAGCTCATAGCTCAATAGTCTTTGCATGTTTCTAGAAAATGTCGAAGTATTATGGGCAGCTCAATTTCTTGAACCTTCTTCCATTTCTTGTCAATTTCTTCCGACGCTGTTTCATAACTGCTCCTCTTATCTGTGCCTATATATGTGTTGACCTCTTTGTGGTCGATAAAGTAAGTTTAAAGAAGTTGCAGCCTTAAAACCACGAATTGCACTTTGTTCCTGCGTTCCGTTGAATAATGCATGAGGGACAGTGAATGCAATCTTATGCAAGCTCAATAAATCGAAGATGAAATGTATGGGCTGGACATGCATGTATCCGCTTGCCAGCCACAGCCGATTTTAATTTATTTACAACTGTGAAAGGACAACTTTCATTGCCGGACTGCGCATTGAAATTACTTTTAACACATACTCAGGCAGCAATTCAATTTGCATCGATGCAGGACTTGCACCGAGGCTGACGAAAAAGTGTGCACGGTCAGGGAGGGATCGTGTGGGTGCCGACTGAACGAGCTCTGTTGACGTTCTCGTTCCCCTACTGAAATGCAACGCGAACTGCACATGCAGCCCAAGCCCATGCTGCAATGCTCATTACCCAAGTCCCTGCTCAATTATGTTGCATGCTCCTTTATTACAATTATCTCGTTACGTGGACGCCTGCCCCTTGCCAGCCGGCTATGTACGGGTAATATTCTTGCCTTTTTCATGTTGTTGTACGCAATTGGCAGCGCTCTTCAGTTGATGTTGATGAGGGGTTCGTGATGAGCTGTTCCCATATGGTAAGTGATACAGCAGGCAGGCAAAAGACACTCTTTGACTTTCAATTGCAGCCCATTGAGACGACTAAGTTGCTGGCTGAAGTGCCTCACAAGCGGCGCATTGAAAATTGCGCTTAATTTTGCGACTTGCAGGCGCGCTCAGACCTAAAACTGGTTTCAATGTCAGAGCCATTAACAGCAATCCACATGAACGGCCCAAGTGAGTCTTGGCAAAATTTTAACGAATGAAGATTATAGTCCTCGCGTAGGCTGAAGCTGTGCAACAGATTTACGCAAAACGATAATAGAAAACAGGTTGGCTGTTGACTTAAGCCGCTTTGGTGCCTTCGTTTGTCACCTGGCCATGGCAAACAATTTTATAATTAAAGCATCAAATGCAGCTCAGACGCTTCAACGACATCGCCCATCATGTTGCTCACACATACGAGTACACAGGTAAGACAATAGCGAGGAGCGATATGTGCGAAAGGCAGATAAGACACATACGCGCAACACTTGAACAGCAGCGTCCAGTTCAGATGCAGACAGCAGCGAGCAGGTGTTCAAACTTATTCATTAAAACCACAGAAAGGAAGCAGGCAACGGGGTGTAACCAAGCGAGGTAGCAAGGAAGTTGGCAGCAACGCACCCCAATCCACAGACATCACGCCAGTCAGCTAGAACTTTTGCATTGTCTTGGCAGCCTGGCCAAGATTGTGGCCGACACGCAATTGTGGCAATTTCAGCGTCAGGCAGACGTGCAAAACGCTTCGAAGACATCCGCTGCACTCCATCCTGGCTCTCAAGCAAACGCTTGCAACCGGTTTTCTTCTCCTTCAATGCGGCAACTATACGAGTCAGCAACTCATTCGTATGCCTGGTAGCTCTGATTCCCCATCTATGGCAGCTGCAAAAGCAAATCCGCCACACTTGCAGAATTGTTGTTTTGCATATAAGTTGGTACGATGTGCTGGAGGCGGCTACGCTTCGATTTAACTTGCCAAAGTTATGATCGCTTAAGTGCCGGCAGTTAAGCGTGTTTAACTGGATCTAATAAATTCTGCTGGACCATGACACACTAATTACCGACTGAGCTGTTTCCAAAGTCGTGCCACGCCCAGAATCATCCTTTGATAAATCGAATGGCAAGCTTGCAGCAGTATGTGCAAGTTTGTATTAGATATTTCATACAGAATTTCAGTTCAAAATTAAAATCAAATCATTTCCGAGCTTTCGAAATGCGAGCCAAATGGCGCAAGAAGTGTATGCTCAGCTTAGAACGAGAACGAAATCGTGCCGCAAAATGCGCGCACGGTCCAAATAACTAGAAAGTTTTGATTTCTAGAATATTTGTTAAACTTTCCTTTTCATTTATTTAATCTACAGATGACAGTTGCTGAGAACCAATTATAAAATATTCAGCAACTAACTCAATGCAGGCATTAAGTATTGGTTCGCCTTAAAAAGTTATTAGCAAAGCAAATGAATTTTTTTCACTCAATATATCGTAACAAATCCATGTACAAAACATAATCATGAAATTATTAGCGGAGAAATATGGAAAACAAAAATACTAGATGCGCTCAATTTAGCTCATTTTGAAACATTCGAAAAATGCTTGTCAAAATGATCGTTATTTTTAATTGCGCCTTTAATTCTATTCGGCATACTTTTGACTACATTTTCTTTGATTTCCTTTGTCACTCTTGCTGGATTCGATATTCGATATATTGGTTTGCTTCTTTTCACAATAGAACATACAAGTATATTGAAATTAGACTTCTTGTAGGCAACACAGCACAACAACAGGCATGCACGCCGCTCGAATATCAAGAAATTGAGAATATTTTTTAGGAAAAATAAAGCAATAACTTCCCATCTAATAACACCTTACATAATCAACATAATTTATCAATTTCATAGAGAGCTTTAACCTCATATAATCTTTGCCAAATTATCAACCAAAATTTATTCATCCATCTAATATCCAACGAATGTTTTTTGCCTTGTCGAGTACACAATGTATGATTTCGCATTCTCTACAGCGCTTTAATTATAAGCCCTCTAGAAACTTGTGCGTATTCCGATTTATTTTGGAGAGGCATATTTGTATGCTGGACGCATAGAATCAAAAATAAAATCAGAAATTTATAAAGCCAAAGAAAGATCGGTGCGACAACGGAAGTTGGTCACCACACAGCATGAAAAACAGACAAGACACACAACTCTATCGACTGCTAGGTTCGAAAAGAGGCCATAAATATTGTTCATTTGTAAATGGATGGTGGAAAAAAAGAAGAAGAACGCACAGCACAAGCATATAAAACATTGTCCATGTTCATTTCTAGTACATGTGTTGTGCTTTTTGGCTTGGCTCTCCTATTTCCTAGACAAACATTGACCAGCCGACCAGTGTCCGTCCATACGACGCTCGACGCTGTTGGTGTTGTTGTTGTTGTTGGTGTTTGTTTTATTATAGTATCATCTTCCGGTCACTTTGTCATTTCTCCACAACATATTTCAAACAGTTACGAGGAGACAAGTGGCCACAGCGCGTGTCGGTTCGCTGGGAGGCGCAGAGAGCGCGGCTTAGTTATTGGAAAGTACTACTGCAATGGCTAGAACTGGAATTATTAAAAATAGAAAACTTGCCGAGTGGTAAACGGAAGTTGTATAGACGAAGTCTATTGCTTTTGGTGTGCAGAAGCGAGTGAAGTCAATAAGTAACTGACCATGGCTACACAGCGCGAAACTGTAAGTGAGTTGGGTGACTAAGCTTTTAAAAATATGTCAATTGTGATTAATGTGGAAAAGATATTTTTGTAATTTCTATAGCCTTTTTTATGTATTTCTTTTAGTTTTATTTAGTTTAAGTTCTCTATCGTATTTTTTACATCCAATAAATAAAATAAAATAATTAAGAAAGACAAATCAATTCGACAAATCTTATTAAAAAAGAAGCACGAATAATTTAATTTGACTGCCCATTATCTAATTAAATGATCAAAAAATCAATTTTAATCCGGGAGAAAATAAGGTTGTATTTTTTTCAGATGCACCTCCAGCTTTATTTCATCGAAATGAGTTTTCGATTTTTTAAGAGAGAGCACTAAACTAAATTGTTTATCGGAATCCTTTTAACATTCGCAGTAATAATAAAACTATTTAAAGCTACTTTCTTAACTGGTAACTAGAATTTAGTTTGATTGTAGATTTGTATTATTTACCTAATGCTCAGAAACAGAGTTGTGTTTTTTATTTTTGATATTTGTAAAGGAATTTGAAAAGTTTTAAGCTAAACTAAAAATTCAATCTCAAGGAACAATACATTAAAGTATATTTTAGACATAAATCTTATAACATTAATTTAAAGTCTTATAACAACTTTATCGACGCAGATATCAAAGCAGCGATCGTAAGAGGCATATGGACGGATAGAGACGGATTTGTCTACCCTCATTGAAAGTTAGAACCTTTCCAAATCAAATACACCTAGTTCACGGCAGCTTGGTTCCAGAAAAAGTCGTGTGAAAAAAACCCCTGTTAAAAAAACATTGATCATATGTTATGCAACATATATAAAAAATTTAGTTTTCAATCAATCGTGTTTAATCAAAGCCGTGTAAAAAAAAACCGTGTATACTATAAATAGTTTCTAAAATATTTTATCTTGTGCTATCAGTGCTATTAAAAGGGAGACAACCAATTATTTCTCTCACTACATGAGCGCCACAGCAACATTTGACTTGTTTAGTGCGCTTCAAAGCGCCATAGTGGGTCACAATTGCTTTAGCTCTCTGGCGAAAAAACTTGCCGCGCGCCCAATGCTCCCTATATTACCCTTCTGTCCGCCCCGCGGTACTGACGTTACAGACACAAGTGCCCCACGGTGCAAAGCGAGCGACGCGTCGGGGGAAGCTGACCGGCCGCCACTTAAAAACAGTGCGCGCGGGTGCACAAACAAATACTCGCACACTCACAGTTGGTTGCCCCCCGCGGTGCACGCACTCATGCCTATGTCGCGCTTTGAATATAAATTACACAAAAAGTGCGCACACACATGACTCTGACGCGACTCTGACGCGACTGAGTCGCGACTGTGACGCGACTTTGACGCTCCGGTGTTGCGATATGACGCGTGCGACATATGCATGGAAGCCATCGGATTGGAGTTGTTGGAGCGCCGCTCACGGCTAATGACTGATGGCTTGATGCAGAGCGTCGGTATCGATGGCGCGCAAAAAGGAAAACCTAAAAACATTTTGAACTTTATGGCTAATCAGGAATCATTGGCCACCGCCCAACGCTCAACGCCCACTCTGGCAATGGAGGCACAAACTGAAGTGCACATTAGCATGCGAGGCGGCAAATGGAAGGTGGCTAACTGTGCATTCGGCGTGGAAAGCGAGACAAGTAGTTTCCGCAAATTCTAGATCATAATTATGACGACGAATACTATAAACTGCTGCACAACATTGTCAACTTTGGCCGCTGATTGATTGATTAATTGACAAAGGCATTGCCGTTAGCTTCCAATTATGTATGAATGTTTGTTGATGTTGCTGGTGAGTGGTGTGTGGTGAGCGGTGCAGTCGGTGCAGTCGGTCAGGCAACGATGAGTGCAACAGAATTTGCATTTCTAATTCATTCATGCATTCGTTTGTCGTTCCTCACACATTCATGCTCATGTATCTATGTATGTATGTATGTATGTATGTATGTATGTATGTATGTATGTAGTTCATTGTGCTGGTCATGTAAATGTTGCATTTCCGCCGCCCGAGCCGAGCTTAATTATTCATTAATTTCTACTCAAATTCCATATGTGCGTGCTGTGACAGTCGCTGTGCTATTTTTGGCCAATTTATGGCTGTCCAAACCTTGTGCTGTATGTGCATGCGGTCTGGGTCTGTAAATTCCTTTGGGCATTGCATTACTGCAAGCTTTTGTCGCCAAATATCAAGTGTTGCACATTTATGAAATAATTATGCGCATTGTGGCATTGTGGCCATCCAGACCATGTGGGGGGTGCAATTATGATTGGATCAACGCTTTGAGAGCATAAAGGGCCAGAATACAAGTATTTGTGTGACTTAAGTAACATTTGCTCCTCTACTCTGTAGTTTGTCATTACATTTTGCAATAGAATCGACCTGCTTCATACACAAAATGCCGTACGTCTTCAATCCGGGCTATATTGGACCCAATCCTCCATGTTGTGATCCGGAGTGTGAATCGGAAGAGGACTGCCCGGATTGTGAGTGCGGGCCCTGTCCAGATAGACCGCCATGCAGTGGTTGCTCGCCGAGCCCACCACTTACACCAAAAGGTGCAGTAATGGCCGAGAAAAGGGACAAAAAGAATAGAGAAGATGGAAAAGAATGTGACTGAAGCTTGCAGCAATAGAATATTCAAAGATCCACTCCATAAAACAAGGTATCTAGTATTCATAGGTTAAACACTCTCTTAGAAAGATTACAAATATGAAAACATTCTAGGTTCATTTCGTAAAATCCTTTGATAGGGTTAGCACACACACATACAAAAGGAGAATTTCTCTGTTTCTAAATCGTAAGTATTAAACGTATATTTTTTGCAACGCAATGCTCGATGCTTAGTATTTTGCAGTCTGGTGTCCATAATGGCCTGTGATCCCTGCTGTGATCCCCGCTGCTTTAATCCATTCTACGTTGGTCCTTACCCGGCATGCGCCTGTGGCCCATGTCCGCACGGATGTTACTCAGGTTTTGGAGGTTGCGGTTGCTGCTGTTGTAACAATTGCTGCTGAGGGAATCTAGGCGAGCCAAGTCCAAGACACCTAGATATAGGAACGAGAATGTCCGACAAAAGCAAACGATAAATCAAAAATTAAAGTTCAGTAGAAGAAAAAATTATTTCATCATTTGTGTTGTTTTCAGTTACTCTGAAAAGACGAACTGCGGCTCGTAGTCCAGGTAGCGCCATGTCTGTCCTCATTATACTATTGGATATGGGAAGGGACTTTGGTAATTCCATTATACTGACGATGTCATGGGTTCTTCATCAGTTGCATGGTCCTTTGATTCGAACTCTGGACTATATAGTACCTACCGCACGCTCCCTGCTACTCGTTTTTCATGAATGCTGCGCCGATTGTCACATGGAGCCTGAGCCTGTTGCAATAGACATAAGAAGCTCCTTGGAGTTTTACCAGCGAATGAAGACCCTCTTTTGGGAAATTATAGATGTGATATCATATTTGGGTTCCTAGCTCAACGATTTTCCCTTCATCTTTTGAATTTATAAAATTTCAGTGTAACAAAAAATACCTTTTAATGGCACTTCAATCCCATCCACAAGCAAAGAAGCTTTCTATGCAGTAGGATCCAAACGTTTTCCCAGCATTCTAATGGAAGTCGTACACGACGCCATTGGCGTGGTGGGTGTGGTGGCATTTGTGGTGATTGTTTCTCATGCAGCCATACAGCTAGTGATCAATTCCTCTGGCATATTCGTCAGCCTCCTGGATGGTGCCTGCCAGATTGTGAGCAACTTGAGAGAAAAGCTTAGGTCCAGGCGGGAAAACAAAAGTGAAAAGCCGAGGCCGGAAAACAAAAATGAAAACAAGGACGAACCACCAAAGGAGAAGGCTGATGAAAAGGTTGAAGAAGACAACAAGGCTGATGAACCAAAAGAGGAGAAAGCTGAAGAAAAAGTGGAGGCAGATGCAAGCGAAAAGCCTGACGAACAGGGCGAAGAAGCAGGTGAAGAAGCTGGCGATGCTAAATAAGGCATAGAAGCTATTCAAAGATACATGTTTTGAAGATGAAATAAATTCGTTTTCTTTCGTTAACAACCGAGATTACTTCAAAGGATGAGGCCGTGCAGTCCCTGAAGGCCGTTTAAATAATAATTTATGCATACGATCAACCAAAAAACTTAAACAAATCCAACTCCGTTCCATTTTAGGGCGAAATAGTAATGAATAATAATGAATGTGTGGTCGACTTCAGATTGCAAGATATAAATGACTTTTTGTCAATTCATTACGTTCACGTTTAACTTGTAGCCAAAGATCTTACAAAATATAAGACCGATGTATAGTCAGAAGCATGGTGTGTAGTCTATAATATTGATTCCAGAGAAGAGGTGAAATTATTCGCACTATAAATTCTGTATTAAAATAGTTTTTAAATTTAATTCGTATTATTAATATTTTCAAACTCAGTAGACTTTGAAATATATGTCGTAATCACTTTAAGAAGCAGACTTTCGTTAGAAATGTTGTTCATTCGTTTTGGAAAACTCATTGGGTGAACAACTCGTACGAAAATAAATAGAAAAAAGTGCCTGTTCCGCCCCCTCTAAAATTGGAGGAGTGTTCCGTCGGTGCTTTTTATTGTCAATGTTGCGATCCAGTAGCCGCCTTGGTGCAATCCAGTTATCGGTTGCTGACTTTCATCTGCCATTCCCAAAACTATCACTCTTTCTGGACTAATACCCACAGATTACCAAACACTCGTAGCAGGTGAGGCTCAAAAACTTGTATTTATTAAGTTTCATAAAATCTTCACATTTCCGAACATACTTTTATATTTATTTGCAGGAAGTCAACCAAGAGATAAGCCCACAATGCCTGTAAAATTTAACCCCTTTTACGTTGGACCCTGTCCACCTGGATGTGTTGACTGTGGTCCATGCTGCGGGCCGTGCTGTGACCCTTGCTGTGGACCCTGCTGTGGACCTTGCTGCGGTCCATGCGGCCCATGCGGACCCTGCTGTGGACCTTGCGGCGGATGCTGCTCCTCCTGCGGCCCCAGCTGTTAACGCTAAATAATTGCGTTGATGATGGATCAAGAGCTGGCACTCTATCAGTACGTTGTTAGGACCCCATTCAAAATTTAAAGTAAAAAAACTATCAGCAAGGCAATTTTGTTGTTTGTCATGGGGTGTACGAGTAGGTGGTGGCATAGCCAAGAGTCATCAAAGAGTTAAAAAAACAAATGGAAATTCGAAATGAAATTGCATCGGTAAGGCACGTGGCAAGGACTGCAGCTTATTAGCTTCAGATGCTACGATTGGCGTGCCTTTGCCAACGGATGCTTGCAGAGAGGGGGGAGAGAGGAAGCTAGGAAGGTAACGGTAAGTAAACAACGTTAGTAGCTAGCCTCGGGTCATAATCATTAAGTGTTGCTGCAGCAGCTCGAAGCTGACTAATAGCCTGCGCGCCCGCAGTTGTCCTAGCCATGGACCAACCAAACAGCTGTTCGGCTCCAACTCGCACTGCGCCCGCGCGGCTCGAACCGAGCCGAACCCCACTGCCGAACTCTAAAAACATAGAATGTAGAGCATTGTGTCAGGTCAAAGGTTCCACTGCTTACCGCCTGCGCTGCCGTGAACTGTAGGGCTCCAAAATCCCTCTGCCTACTGCCTGATGCTGTTGCCGAAGACTGTGGCTACTATGTTTTGTTTTGGCTTAGCGCGATTTATAGCACGTACCCCATATTGGTCCTTTGCGCGCTTCTTTCGCCATATTTACGTATCTCTGTGTGCGTGTAGTATGCTTTTCTCTGTGTGGGTATTTCACTCTCATTTTGGCATCGTTTGCGTTGTTTTTGCGTGGAATTTATTGCGGTAGGTCGGAATTTTCATTGCTTTTGCGTACACCACCTTTACAACGGCTTTTAACTGTGCTCGCAGTAAGTCTCTCTGTGCCCTTCGCTTCCGTTCCGCGTTTGTTTTTCCTTCACCGTGTGAGTGCATTGTTTCATGGTTTATAGTTAAAGTTTTGTCAAAAAGTTTTGCCAACTGCATTGTCGCACTAGTCTGGTACCCTTTTTATTATTAGGAGCTGTGCTAGTATTGTTTTGCTGCTTACTATGATTTGACTTTGCTTTCATTTATGTCAGTACACTTTTAATATACAGACTTCCTGGTTTGCCACACATTGCCTTCCAAAATTCCAGTTTCCGAATATTGTGACCGAAAGTCCCCAAGACAGCCCATAGCTACAGTAAAACTAAAATGAACTAAATTGTGTTTGCAAATATATGAATTCTTTTATATTAGTAGTAATGCCGTGCCTATTTAATCCTGGTTATATTGGACCCTGTCCACCCTGCTGCGATCCTACTCTGGCACCTTGCTGTGGACCCTGCTGCGGCCCCTGTTGCGCGCCCTGCTGTGGACCTTGCTGTGGTCCATGTGGTCCTTGCTGTGGGCCTTGTGGCCCCTGCTGCAGTTCGTGTGGCCCTTCCTGCTAAAGATCTTGGGACTGGAGGAAGCAAACATTTCCAAACCTGTAACAATAGTGTAACAAATACAGCCGACTGCATGTTAGCAATGCTAACTACATTTAACGAAGTCAATTGAGCAACAGTGGGCACAAAAACATAGAATCGGTAACACGCTCCGCCAGTTCAACCCACCCAACATGTTCGTTGGCTTGCGCTTGGAACCTGGCTCGAACGTGGCTCGAACTTGTGCGTCGACTTTGCTCGGTCCGCACTGCATTGGAGTTCTTGGCTTCGGGTTTATCAACGGACGCACGCTATCTTCGCTTTCAGTGTTCGTTTCAAATTCGTTAGGTACGGTCGCTCTGTATGACGGCTCCTTAAGTTGATCCCAAAATATTGAAGCGCGTGTTGAAACGAGCTTAGGCGGTACAACAAGAGATGCTTATAAAGTGTTCGATTGCACTTGAAATCTGCAATAAGTGCAAAATTCAAATTTTTTAACAACTATACTCTTACGTTATGAACTTTACTGCTAGCTCCTAATTAAAGAGACATTGTTTCTGTGCAATCAGAAGATGAATAACGCAACATAATTAGGTGGAAAAGTTTCGAGCCGACACAAAGAAAAGGAACGAATGAAACAAACCCATAATCAAAAGGCAAATGGCAGCCCAGCCGCATTAATGATGCTGCCATTCATATGCTACTTAATATAATTTTGCATCGCAAAAGTTTGACAGTCCCTGAGCCAAAAGTGTTGCCAAACAACCAACAACAAACAAATAATAAACACAACAACACCAGTTCGGTAGCCCAAAAAGTATGCTATGCTCTTCTATATGCTATATGTATAGTTAAATGTGTGGAAAATCTGTAAAGTATGATTAGTGTGCGTTCCGTTCTGTCAAATTACATTTGAGGCAAAAACAAAAGGCGCCCAGCGACCAACGACCGTCGACCGACGACCGTCGATCATCAACCGTCGCGCTGCCGAAAACCAACAGAAATTACGGTTCATTTGCTAAAAACACGTCCCGTGTATCCGTTCCCCCGCTCTATTAAGTGTCGCCGTGCGTTTGTATTTGTACGCGTGTTTGCGGCTGGCAGTAGAGCCCAGAAAACCCTATGACAAATTTAATTTACTGGCAATACATCTGAATATACACATGTACATACTTACCATGATTTATTGCCAGCAAACGAGCCGTGATCTAAAGTGACATTTTTTGTAATATTCGATTTATATGCTGTTGAAAACCAGGTAAATTGCTAAACATAACATAGCTGTGGCCATAGATTAGTCCCCTAAGCCGATTAAATAAACGTTCAGGCCCTATTTTTGTTCCTATTAATCAATGCCTTCTCATTGATATCTAACCTGTCAATGCCTTCGCTATCAATTGCATTCGTTCATTGTGTATTTAACCACAGAACATAATTTATAATATATATATTCATACACATATCAAATATCATTCGCCGCTTTTCCGCTTTCACTCATTTGCCTATAGCTGGGTGTATACAAACAAACGACCTTCAATTGGCATATCAATTAAGCACATAAAGGTAATATACCCAACCACCAACTGCCCATCATGCAAATATTGGAACTAGTCAGTGCATGTTTGGAAAAGTAAATATGTACTATGTTGAGTGCGAAATGGATTATATCATTAAAAATGGGCGAATATGTAGTAGCTGCTTGCAATCGACAAATTGCAAAAGCAAAGTAGCAAAAATAATATTGGTCAAATATGTAACTAATTCCGTAGTTTTGCGGCAAATGCGTAGTAAATCGGATTCATGTATTTGTAGAAAATATTATTGATTTTTAATTAAAATATAATTGACTACGTGGAAAACTTTTCAAATTTGGCAAAGCTTGGTTTTGTTGAATTGTTTTAGAGAGCATTTTTGAAATGCTAAAGTATTGAAATTAAAAAAATATGAACATTTGTGAATGTTTCGATCGATAAATTGCCAAAGCAAATTAGAAAAAATAATATTGGAAAAGCCTGTAGTAAGTTACGTAGTTATGCGATAAATGAGCAGTAAATCTGATTCATGCATTAGTAGAAAATATTATTGCTTTTTAATTAAAATATAATTGACTTCGTGGAAAACTTTTGATATTTTGCAAAGCTGTATGTAACTTGGTTTTGTTGAATTTCATTTTTGAAATACTAAAATATTGAAATTAAGAAAATATATATTTGTTAATGTTGATTGCGTTTGATCAGTAAAATCTTCGTGCCTATGGGCAGCGTGTTTAGAAAATCGATCGTCTGTCTAGATAAACGTATCAATTTAGGAAACTGCGACCGACTTAACTATTTAGATGGCATTTTTAAGTACTACAACATATCATTTCAATACATAAAAGCAAAAGTCCACAAAAAATCACCATCACTCCAGCACTACGAGTATATTGGATCCCCGTTGGGTCCAATAAAAATAAGCAAGAATAAGCAACTACATTTCCATTTATAAATACAAAATTCGAGTAAGGTTTATTTTATAATAATATCGATTCTAACAAAAGGTTATTTTCGTGCAATAAATGAAAGGCTCGATGGAAAATTTCAACTACATAACAATTTTAATTAATACTGGCTGACAGAAGAATCTAATACGAACTTAAGAATTCATTCGAGAAACACATTAAAAATATAAGAAACTATTCCAAACACATTTTACAAATTTAAAATTGCTGTTTAGAGTGTTCACTGTAGCATAACATAATTTTCTTCCCATCATGCATTTTATTAATTCATTTGCTGGCCCTGTTTTTACTCATTTCACTTTTTTCGCACTTTCCATACTTTCATGCCGCCCCAACCACCGCGTCAAAAAAGTTATCGCATGCCTCTTGCTGGCTCATAAATTAACGCATAAAATATTGATATAAATATCGAGACATTAGGCAAATTTTATTGGTTTTGGACTAACAGAAATAATGTGGGCCATAAAATCCACAAAGCAAACGCGATTTGAAAATAGCTAAAGAATTTATGATTATTAGGATTGGCATCATGTTGGCCAACAGGTTCGAGGCATTAAAGCATTTACGTTCAAAACTTTAAGTTGCCTGAATTGGACAACAAGTTTCGAAGTCTGCACCTGTAGCCAATGACTATCAGCACTGAAGAAGTGTAAGAGAAGCAGCACGAAAACTTTCAGAACTCGTTCGTCATGTTCCGGAAATCGGCCAAGAACAACTGGGGTTAAATTTGAGAGAGAGCCCTTTTTTTTTGTGGTCAGCCAACCAACCAACCTGTTCGGCTACATAATTGGGCACTGAGGCATGCCGGGCAAAAATAAGTAAAAAAGGGTTAGCAAGTGCCTGTTGAAGGGTTTTTATGCCCTCAATATGTTTTTAGACTTCGAGCAGGTAATGCAAATTGTAATTAAAATATGAAATTTCCTTGCACTAAGCTTGGCATTTCAACTATTTGCAATAACCATACAAATTTCGCCTTGTGCTTCTGCACAAAATGAATATCTTTTGCTTATATTCAAAACAAAAGCGCCCACTTTGGCCTGACTTAATGGCCTTGAGCTCATTCAAAACGCTCAATAGTACTGCCACAGTACCTAAGAGCGCCTTCATAGTCTTCATTATCGTCATAAACATTATCATCATCATGAACATCAACATCACTTTCATCGCCATCGTTGGGCGCCAAACTCTTTTGCATAATTTTTAACATAAACTCTCATTTTCGTGCGCATAATCCGCAACGTGGATGACAACTAAATGGAAGGAATAAAAAAGCATGACATAGACAAAAAAAAAAAAAAAAAAAAAAATTAAGAAGATAGAGGACATGGAAAGGGGGAAATGCAAAGTGAGAAAAGGTGTACTTCAGAAAATTCTTGTATCAGAGTGTGAGTGTTAAATGCTTAAAAAATGAAGCGTTCAAAAGTTTGGCAAGTTACACATACGCCGTGTGGTACGCCCCATATCATGCCCTCCACTCACATAGTTAATGACAGGCAGCTGCTGTTTCACCTCCATCTTTACCTTCCAGCTCCACCCACACTCGCAGGCTGTCTCAATCTGCTCCACTTGTGTGTAAATTTTTCTTGACAAACTTATGAATTTTAAGGTGATTTTCATGTCGTCATTGGGGTAAGTCCTTGAAATGCGGCACATTGCGCATGTTGCATGGCTGAAAGGGTTACAGCATCATAAATCACATCAAGGCTGGCTTGAGGACTGGGGCTGTGCGGTGGCATAATCAAAATCATTTTGCGGTTTTCAGCAATTCTGCATTTCGAAAGTAATTAATCATCGAAAGTAATTGGTTTTATGTTTTGATTTGACATTTGAAAAATTGCAGCTGCGACAATTCAATCCCATGGCACTTCCACTGCATTTCGAAAACACGCTTTACACAAAAGTACGGCTGTAATATGGAAAGTGTTCTGGCAGGATATTCAATAGTACCCTGATATGTACGCGCGACATAATTCCCAATCTTGATGCGCTGTGCACTTTTTCCACAGTCTGCATATTTTAAATATGCAATTTAAATGTTTTTTCCAACGACCTGTTGGCAAAAACTAAAGTAAACTCGATGACCAAAATTGTAAAATGCATTTTAATACACGTTTTAATGGACAGAAGATTTGTGTTTGGCTTTCAGCTGCAGGGCGCCCACAAAAACCGTTTGTACAAACAACTTTTTAAATGCACACAGAGATGCGAATTAAATAAATAAAACTTGCTAATAAATGCACATACAATGCATTAAAATAACTTCAAATGTTGTATAACAAGCCGTAACAAACTTTTAAGTGGAAATTAAACGATATTTTGCCAAACTGTTATCATTGCAGTTCTATTTGTTGCAAATGTAATTAATTCAATTACAATTTTAAAGTACAATTATTTATGTCAATTAAGCGAATGTGTGCAATACATTTCGATTAAAAAGATTGTGCGATTTTAAATAAATAATGTTCTGTTGGAAATATACATTTAAAATCTGAATAAAACTGAAATGTAACCCCTGAAAATTGAAAATCATATTTTCTAGAGTTGGAATTCTGTAAAACTACTTATTTAGTACATACGTTTTATGGTTATAACAGTTTATTTTTATTGTTTATATTGTTTCTGTATGTACGTAGGTTTGTAAAACTCATAAGGAAGCATTGTGGCACATTTGTTATATCCATTTTATATGTTTAAAAAACATATAACTTTTTAAAATAATGCAACCCAGCTACAAATTGATAATATTATTGATAGTATATGGTATAATGGATGGTATAATGCAAAAGTTAGGAATTACAATAGGGTATGTAGCCAACGAGCCTTAGGTAGGATAGGATCCGCACAAATTAAAATCACTTTCAGGAAATTTTAGCCAAATTATGTAAAAATTAAGGTGGGAATACTTGACAATAAGAAGGAAATAGTTAGGGCTTGTATGATATAAGCATCGCAGCTGTAATGTTTTTGTCGGTCGAGTTATTTGGGGTCCAATGTTGTATCAAAAACTATACATTTCTGTTTTATGATTACAACTGAAGAGCCGTTTTCCTAATCAGATCAAAATTGGTTATTTTTTGTAACAAACTTTGTTGTTGGCCTTGAAATGGAACCCGGGCTCAGGACTATAAAATAAATTTAATATAGCTTAATCTTAATTGAATTTTTGCTCAAAAGAGTCAGTCAGACTATTGCATTATCTTTTTCCGCCTTGCGTTTCCTAAGGTTTTCCTCTTTATGGTTTTCTATTGATGCTGAGACATATTATGCGGGATTATTTTTGGTTCTCCTGTTCTTAGATTTTATTTATCATATTTTACGAAGTTCAACGTTGTCATCAATTTGTTTCCAAGTCAAAATCAGCAACAATTGCATTTAACTTAAGCAGAGCCCTTACAGTTCCAATTGATTAATGAAAATCGACACCGTCTAGGCATATAATACGCTAAGACTGGTGCTCACAATAAAAATAGTGCTTTCAATTAACAAGAATTTCAAGTGATTTTACGCTTTGTTTTATTCTCATTTCGAGCTTTTTCCACTAAAATCAATAACAATCATTATCAATATCACGATTTTATTTACCGCGAATTACGCGTATTTATTTTTCGCCTAAACATGTCTGACACTTTTTTCGCTTATAAGTTACAGTATCCCTAACAAGGTATTTGCATATATTTTATAAATACTTCGCTGTCCCAACAATATTAAGCAAATTGTCCCCCTCCTTTCAAACAATCAACATAAATTAACAAATTAAA